ATTTGGCATTTCTGGGGCCCCTCTGAGTTCTTCCATTCTTTGAGGTCAGGAGCCCTTCTGTTTCCTGGGGTCCCAAAACCTTTTAGTGGAGATTTCCATCCCAACAGCAGGAGGGAGAGCACCCATTAGTGGGATTCCTGGTTGGCTTGGCCTAGGTAACTTTGTTTCAATCTGGCTGTTCCCTGACTCATTGGGGTCCAGAGACCTTTCAGTGGGTGGACGTCCACGTATACATTAAAGCCATCTCGATCTTGGGTTAACTCTTACAGGTGTACTTGTGTATACAAGAAAGGTGTACCCAAGAAAAATCAAAGAAAAAGAAAGTTTGGGTGGAAAGTGGAACTAAATTTTAACACAAGGTACAGAAGAGGGAGAAATCCTTACTGAGTGGAGGTATACAGGGGAAATATCCCAGGAGCTGCTTCATCAGTCCAGCAGGACCAGACAACTCCTCTTCCCAGGCAATCTTAAGTCTGAGGCTGAGACAAATGTGTCCTGGTGGAGCTGTCAAAACTGTGGCTGGAGCCACACTGTCCCCAACCAACCCTACAAAGAAAAGTTCTTGCCTTTTGCTGACCAAGAATGACTAACAGAGGCAGAGAGTTGCTGCACACGCAAATTTTTATTAGAGAAGAAGCCAGCTCTTGAGATAAAGAGGGCATAAGCAATATTTCACCCTTGACTTCCTGAAGCTATGGGGGTTCAGGGTTTTTATCTCCCCAGGGTACAACAGTGAATTTATAGATAGCCATATATTGGAATGGTGAGGTTTTCTTGGTATAGACAGGGCTACATGTAAATAGTATAGGTTCTCAGCTGTTCTCCAATATGGATCCTGCTTTCAAGGGATTCTGATGCCAGAGGGCAGGACTTAAGAAATGTTGATGTTGTGGCCCTTGGTGGGCAGCCCCTTCCTCTCTCTGCATGAGGCATACAGCTGGGTCCCAGGCTTCCTGCAAAACAGTTTTAGAGATGTCTTAGATAGTGTGATTTCTTCAGCTATTCCTGTTTGCTCCAGGATGTGGGTTGACCAATATTTAGGTCTGAT